AGTGTCTAAAGAAATCATGTAAACCATTACGTTAAATATCTTGTATGCAATCATTATCCATTGATCATCTATGTTATTGTATATAGTCGATATCTAATATTATATATATATCCAACATTTTTATTCTTGCAGTAGGCATGGATAAAATAGGTAATTAAAAAAGATATCTAATGATATAATTTTGTTGTATTGGGAGTACAAATTAGTTCGGTCCGTTTCCCTAAAGATGGTTCCAACTATTGTGAATAGTGACAACTGATTTTGGCGGTTTCAGAGAGGTTAATCTGCTAATAATATTCAGCTTACATCGCTTTGAGTTTCATACAAAAAAAAACTTTGATTTTTACTGTGTTTGAAATGTCGAATTTTGTGTTAACCAAGCAGCATTTGCGAGAAGTTTTTATTTTCTACTTTAATTGGAAGAAAAGTGCGGCTGAAGCCCATCGAATGCTTGTCGAAGTTATTTTATGACACTGCTCCAACTGATAAATCATGTAAGGAATGGTTTCGACGTTTCAAGGATGGAGATTTCAGCGTTGAAGACAAGCCTCGCTCTGGACAGCCAAAAAAATTCGAAGACAAAGAATTAGAGGCTCGAAGAAGATCAGAGTCAAACGCAAGAGGAGCTTGCAGAATCATTGGAGGTAACTCAACAAGCCATTTCTGTATGATTGAGAGCCATGGAAATGATTCAAAAACAAGGAAGTTGGGTGTCTTATGAACTGAAACCGAGAGACATTGAAAGGCTATTTTTCACTTGCGAACAGCTAATTCAAAGACAACAGAGAAAAGATTTTTTGCATTGGATTGTAACTAGAGATGAGAAATGAATATGCTACGACAATCCCAAGAAGAAAAAATACTACGCTAAACCCGGTCAATCATTGCCATCGACCTCAACATCAACATGGCCGAACATTCATGGTTCGAAGATCATGCTCTGTATCTAGTGGGACCAAAAGGATCTTGTTTACTATGAGCTGCTGAAATCTGGCGATTCCATTACGAGCGATCGACTACAATTGATTCGTTTGAGTCGTGCATTGCGAGAAAAACGGTCAGAACACGAGCAAAGACATGATAAAATTATTCTTCTTCATGACAACGCTCGGCCTCAGTCAGTCGCTAAAATCGTAAAAAAATATTTAGAAACGCTCAAATGGGATGTTTTATCGCACCTGCCATATCCTCCGGACATTGCTCCTTCTGATTACTGGTTGTTCTGATGGATGCAGCAAGGTTCACTTCTTTCGCAGAAATCGAAAATTGACTCCAAAATTGAAGTCGCCTCTAAAGACGAGTTATTTTTTCGAGATGGAATTCGAAAATTGCCTGAGAGATGGGAAAAAATAGTAGGCAGTGATGGACAATACTTTAATTGATTTGTTCATTCATTTTGTTTTGAAATAAATGCACAAAAAAACGGATCAAATTAATTTGTACTCCCAATAATATAATATAATATTAATATAATGTAATATAATTTATGATATAATATTTATAATAATTTATTTTTATTTTTATTATTTACGATTA